GTCCTTCGTCGAATTCTCACAACCTCTTAACCGACCGACTCATTATTCGGTTACAACGACGGTAGCGGAGTACGTCGAACCCTCACGCGCTCTGCTGTGGCATCGCGCTGCATGCAAATCTGGCATTCGAACGGCGATTTCGGGATTTTGGGTCACTCCTTCCGTGTAGGAGGAGCGTCACTGAGAGCAGCTCTGGGCATTCCTCACAGCGCAATTAAGACGCTTGGACGGTGGACGTCAGCTTGCTATGCGCTGTATCTCAGGGATTATTCATCCGAAGACATGGCGGAAACATGCCGTTTACTCGAAGTTTTGAATGGGTAGCACGTAAGCTTCTCCTCAAAACCGGGTGTACACAAGGTGGGGGTGTTCGCGAGGCTCAGGCTTGCATACAAACCCGAGTCTTGGGTGTATCGCTAACCCCCCCTTGTGTTCTCTCCTAGGTTTTGGGTTGTTTGTTTTGTGTGTCGGAGTTTTATTCTCCTAACCTTCTAGCAGCAGCTTCCGGCGTCTCAGGCTCTCATCAGAGAAGTCCTGTCTCTCTGAGCCGGATGCTGTAGGAAGGGACGGCAAATATCCCCCCTACCCCACACACCATACGTAATGTATGGCGTACACGCTTTTAGACAGACATACAATTTGCAATGTTATAGGTTAGGGCTCCCTCAACAGCCCCTCCCTCATCCTAAAACACTTTGCATGTGTCACGCGTAACAGATGTTTGAGATACGTAGCAATACGCATACTCACGAGATCCTAAGGCAACTAGAGAAGCTGCTTGGCCAAGAATGGATAACTGGTACCCGTACGAGGCACGAGGGAGGTTACCCCTGTCCATGCCCGCACTAGAGTAGCAAAACCTCGACGTCCCAGGCTCAGCTTCTCTCACCCGGCTGCTTTGGTAACCGGATGGTTAGCTAAGCAGGTGGTGCCTGAGAGTTGATCACGCATGACGTGATCCCTTCTCTAGCTGAGACCTGGATGCCTGGTGAATATATCGGATGCTCTCCTTCTCTATCCGATATTCCCCCAGTCATCTTTGTTTCTCGCACGCGAGGAAACCCTTTGTCGACTCAGCGCAGTTTCTCTAGTGCCACTCTCTCGTCTCATCTTTTTCTGTAGTATATATATACGATTAGATTAATTGAAGCATTATTTTATTTAATCGTTTAAAACTCTTTTAAAAGCAAAGAATGTCAGATAAACCGAGTAGAAGAGGCAAGACGAACATCAAGAACTCAGACGGTCATATTGTCGATTTGTTAACAAATACAGTAGGAAGTCATAGTAATCAAGAAGTTTCAACATCAAATATGAACATGTCGAATCAAGGATACTCGGTAAACCTCATAATCGATCCAAATCAATCTTTGAAATCAATCCAAGGAGATCAACCTAACGATCTCGGAATAGATTCAAGTGTTTCGAACTTAGAGAACTCGGGTAAAACCAAGAGTTCTGGTTCTGGTCAAACCCAAGAGGATTCTACTATCGAAGTAGATCCTGGGAGTAAAGTTCAAGATAATGTGTCAAAGAAATTATCGAACAATCAAGTTTCAAGTAAGTTGAAATGATAAATATCAGAATAAATAAACATTACTAATACTATGTTTTTATACATATAGTAATCTCGAATAAGGAAGGTGACGAAGTACAAGAGAACTTGATTGCTAAAGATAAGATACAACCAAAGGATCTCGTAAATGCCAATTACTTATCTATCCTGGGGGATAAACCTCAATCAGGAAATCATGGTAAGTGGTCCAAGTTGTCATGTATGAAAATATAAAGTGACTGAAAAGAAATTGATTAATGTAGGAATTTCGATAACTATAAATTCGGATGAAGAAGATTTCAACAATAATGTAGATCTGACGAATAAAGACTCAGTTTTTGCTAAAGCAATGGAATTATCAGTTAAAGGAAATGGTCTAGAGGCTGCAAAGTATTTAAGAATATACAAAATTTGAGCAACTTACCGATTAATAGACCTTCAAATAAAAGGGCGACTTCTGCAAATCCAGTCTTATCGGTCGAAAACAAGAAGATTCCTGATGGTGCAGTCTTCGAGAATGGTATGTGGTTTTTCCCAGGAAAAACAACTAGTCATACGAAGAGAAGCTACACTCCGTATTTCGATAAGAACATAGAAGAACTACGATACCCAATTCCATTAACAATCTTCGATAAAGATTGGCAGAACAAAGCGATGACATGCCATGTGAAGAAGAAATCAAAATCAAGTGACGGAGATAAATCAGACTCATCATACAATGGACTACCTTATGCCGACGAATGGTTGTTAGATTACGGTGAATGGAGCATCTATTATAATGCATTCATATCAGCAGTCTCAAAATTTCCAAAATTTACTGAATGGACGATTGCTCACAAAGTAAACGTTGAAAAGTGATGGGTGAGATGGGTTGGTTGACTGCATTGAAGTATGATATGCGAGTTAGAGAGAATGTTTTAGT